TAGAAAGGGCGTTTCTTGGGTGGCATAATCACCTGTATCACTAAACAATAATTTGCAATTTACAAAGTTACTAAAACACTTTATGAAAGAAAACTGTTTTTGGAAATACTGAATTGACAGCAAGGTAATCTGAATGTCTTCCGCCATAACGCTTTCTATGTGCAAAACGTGCTTATGTTTGAATGTTTATTACAAAAAAAATGTCGTAATAATCATTAATTGTCAATTTCTTACTACACCAAATACAAAATAAATAGCACCATTAAATTTCTTGTAAAAACTGGTTATTATGAAGTTATTTTAAAATTTGTAAGTTCAACCGTTTGATTTCCTATAGCGAACAAATAAACAAACTTCCTCTTTTATATATATAGATGTAACGTTTGTTTGTACACTGTCCTGCAATAAGTGTGGGAACAGTTCTCGATCCTGTGTGGGGTCGTAGTGTTTTATCAGTTATGTAACGTTTGTTTGTGTACTGTGCTGCCGTGAGCAATGTCAAACACTTAAAGAGAGAACTAGTGATTTAAAGAATGTGTTAAACATTATTAACTTATTAAATGGTAAGATTAAGCTGCAGTTTTTTTTTCTAAAGTTGCCCTAACTTTCCACTTTAGATTATTACCTACTTCCAGTTAGCAGGCGAATCGACCGAGGCAGATTACAATGTACCATAAGAAATGTTTTAATATACCTGTTTTCGGGGAATTTTAAACTGTTGAAATCTATTTCAATCTTGTAATTTCTGGCCCCCAGTGGCACAGCGGAATTATACTGTTAGAAACCGTGTAGCTCTGTGAATAACAAACAACAACTTGTAATTTGTGTAGTGTTTCACAATGCAACGTGATATGATATTTGATACAAACTATAATTGTAATTATATTTAGTACTGTTACATTATTTCACTTGGGGCAACTTATAGTCAATTTCACTAAACTTGGCTGGTCTTGGAAATTCGGGATTGATCAATTGCTAGTTTGGAACGTTTTAATGGCATTGGTATCACGATTATCGTTACTTCTACACTTGTTTTTCCCCCTCCATGTAAAGCACCTAAGTTACATGTGCAATTGATATTGGGCGGGGCACTAAAACGGTGCAGAGAATTTAAAACATATCGTACAGTTCGATCAATATTGTATATGCTGCGATAGGTGGGCAAAGTGCCAACACATCGGGTCACTCGAGCCAGGTGGTTAGTCGTCCGTACCGCCTGCACTCTTTCTTGATTACTTCGTCGTTCGCCGACGTTACTTTATTGATAGTCACAAAATGAATCATAAAGTTAACGCGGTGAGAAGCTAGTATTAAAGTATAGAGGTAGAAAGCACCTCGAGTAGAGAATTTTTTGTAATTTGGTGCGAACTAAGAGAACAGTTATGGTTGTGCCACGTTACATGGCACGAGTTGGACGTGAAAACTTACCTACGTGCATCTGAAATCACCAAGTGAAGGCATTGGTTAGTGTACGTGATGGCATGTATCATATGTGTGAGTTACCCTAGTAGTGGTAGAGCAAAACGTAACAGCCCTTTGGCAGGAAGGTGAGGATGCGTATTTTGTTATTGCTTTTTTGATATTTAATTTAGTGTGAGTCAATATATATTGTATTTGGATAACATTTTTAAACTTAAAGCACTGTAGAATTGTTTTCCATGATTTTTAATAACGTGTTTAAAAAATTGAAAAAGTTAAGTCTTAATTTATGTATTATTACAGGTAAAATTAAGTATTTGTTTCTGGTTTCAGACATTATGATTTTTGTAATCCGTATATTTTGACATGCAGGGTAGACTGTCTAGTTTACCATTTGACTTTTGTAATTACCTTTTATAGGATTAATATTATATTTGTAAGTTTTAATTTGTTTTTGTGTATGTGTGAGGGGGAGAGAGAGAGAGGAGAAAAACGTATTTTCTAATTAAATCAATGCGAGATGAGTTAGGAATACCTGCATGTCAATGCATCAAAATATTGTGCATTAATTTTCATCCTCCATTCAGAAGCCTGATTTTTTCTTAATATGTGTTTACTTTTTTGATATTTCCATGTTTTTATTGAAACTTTTAAAGAGACTAAAACCTATACAAAAGAAAAGCAAGGAGAAACCATATTTATGGAATTTCTTAAGATACATGTAGAATGTTTGAACATAATTTGAATTAAATGTAGAAAGGTAGGTACACTAGTAAATGTTTAGAAGAATCTCAATTTTAAGATCTTTTTTTACAAGTAAAAGTATTTTTATTATAAACTTTCTTTGAAGTGTTAAAAAAATTCTCATTTTGTGGAAATGTTGATCCTCTTTTTCAACATGTTTGATAGAACATTTTTATAAAATCTGACTGAATGGTTAGATGGTGCACACACACACACACACACTGCTGTCAAGTACACATACTTTTATAAAATCTGACTGAATGGTTAGATGGTGCACACACTACTGTCAAGTACACACATTTTTATAAAATTTGACTGAATGGTTAGATGGTGCACACACACTGCTGTCAAGTACACATACTTTTATAAAATCTGACTGAATGGTTAGATGGTGCACGCACTACTGTCCAGTATACACATTTTTATAAAATTTGATTGAATGGTTAGATGGTGCACATACTACTGTCGAGTACACACATTTTTATAAAATTTGACTGAATGGTTAGATGGTGCACACACTACTGTCAAGTATACACATTTTTATAAAATCTGACTGAATGGTTAGATGGTGCACACACTATTGTAAAGTACACACATTTTTATAAAATTTGATGAATGGTTAGATGTTGCACACACTACTGTCAAGTATACACATTTTTATAAAATCTGACTGAATGGTTAGATGGTGCACACACACTATTGTAAAATACACAGATGTAGTGCTGTACTTTCCAGTTTAACAAGTCAGATAAAAGTTAGCATTGTTTGAATATTTTAAAAATATTTTTGTCACGTTATACACATACAAGGAAAAAATATGTTATGATAGAATTTGAAAATTCCAAATGGTATGTGTAACTGTATGTATTTTTTATTACTTCAGCATTTTACTATAAAAATTAAAATATATAAAGTCATTAGTTATGATATTAAAAAATTTCACTTACAGCTTAGCACGAATGTTTAAGTGTCACTTGCTGTTTGTTTCTTTTATATGTATAAGTCCTCTTTTGATGGAGAACTGTTTTAAGAAGCTATGTCTGATTTGTAAGCTTTGTTATGTATTGACATTACTTACCACCTTCTGTTTGAAGGCACTTTCAAAAATTTTACCTTCTTGACATTAATAAAAATGCTATTTGTATTAAAAATTTATGAAGGAGTGTTTGAAAGTTTTAGTGATAATAGTTTATTAAAAGATCTTCCCAACATACATATATTATTAAAAGAAAATATTTATGTTGGGTAATGGGAAAATCTCTCATTGGGTTTCTGAGTCTTTTTTGATCAATATTGACTTCATACACAACTTTGCAAGAGCATGAAAACACATTGCTTATTTTCATATTACTCTATATTTGTATAAAACAGTATGATTTTATGTACTTCAAACTATTTTGTGTGTATACCTTTCTATAGAAGCCATTAAATGAGATTCTGTTTAACATTGCTGAATGTGATATGATGACATTATCGAATCATAAAATATGAATCATAACAACATTATCTTGTATATTCACATGTAAGAGAGACATATATATTGTTTTTGACATTAACCAAACCATTAGTTTACAAGAGCATACCACTATCTATAGTCATAGTAAAACTATGGTTGTGATTGCAGTCAATCAGTATGTGTAATCTCCATTAGTATTATGCAAAAGTTTAGTCACATAGTTACACCACTTAAATTGTGTCTAATGGAATCTAAGACTAACACTAGTTTCTCTTACAAGATTTTTATGTACTTTTAATGCATTGGTGATCACATTAGAAATTGTAAGCATAATATGATCAACTGGTAATTTAATAAGCCAAGAATGTCTACACCCATGTAGCTAGCTAGCTCAGTCAACAATGATATAGGATGAGCATGTTTGGGGATTGGGATTCAAATTTGTGATCTTCAGATTGTGAGTTGAGTGCCTAACTACCATGCCATGCTAGGCTCAGCATTATAGTATTAGGTGTCATACACATTATCAAAAGTCTAAAGAAACACCCCTTGTTCTGTATAGCATTATAGTATCAAGTACTGAGGTTTAGTATGTTATATTAAAATAATTTTGGAGTCTCACCACATCATTATTACAGTCCATGTTGCCACATTTGGTCATATTCTGTCTGATGACTGTACACATTAACAACAGTCCTACAGCATAGTTTTCATTGCAAGACTCAATCATAAGACAGTCATATCTAAAGCACACTTTGTGCATACTTTCCATAAGCCATCTTATTTATGAGGTTAACAGTTTCTTATCACCCATTTTAACAGTCCAGTAACTCAGAAATTCTTAAGCACTGCTTTTGATGTAGTAGCATGCATATCCATTTCATTCTCGAGCTGCTTTAGATATGCAGCAGTTGAACAAATATGTTGTTGAAGCAATTTGTGTACACATGAATTGTGATGCTTTTCCAGATAGAGATACTTCTTGATTATGTTTCATACTGTTGCTTAGGGCATATGGATGGCTTTTGCCACTGACCTTTTTGTTCATAGGCCCTTACCTGTTACAAAATGCCACACTTTGTTTATGAAGGCTGGGCCAAGACTTGTTGCAGGTCTTTATCTGGATGGTCCTGGGACCCCAAGTTGATCCATATTCCTTTATTTTGATGTATTGGTAGAATCTGGGCATGTTACAATACATTCAGAAAAATCTTATTACAAATGACATTTCTACAAATGTATAAGTTTAGTAGAGTTATTACATAAATAATCCAAGCTATTCTTTTCAGTTATGAATTAATAAGATATTTTTGGGATCACTACTCCAAAGGGCAGGAGCTACTTAAGCAAGGCATTATGAACCAGTTTGAAAGACAGTACACAAGAAAAGTAGTGGATGATTACAAACTGGTTGATGCTGTAGCCATTTAAAAATCAAAAGTGTGAAATATCTGCATCTAAATCATGCAAAAATGAACAAACAGCATTTTTTGATAATTCTTTGTCTTATTTTTTTACTGTTCTTTTGAAAAAATGTATTATTCAAAAGGTATGTGTATTGTATCATATTGCCAGATAACTATTGATATGCAGTTCTACTAGTTATTTTAGTGTAGTGAAAGTTTGATCATTCATTAAACCTCTGAAGACTTACATGATGTGATTGAAGACATGAGATTTCTTAAAATGTGAAACTTTTTATTATGTAACTTGATAATCTATAACTTAGTACTGAATGGGAAAACACATTAGTTATTATAATTAACATGCCTGAAAACAAAAGAGATGAAAATAACTTATAGTGTTTATTTTTCCAAGAACAGTTATATTACTAAACAGATTAAAGAAAACAATTTTCTATTTATTAGTGATTATATTGACCCCATCTTAATTTTGGCAGAGATTTTTTTGGTTGACACTAATGGTAATATATTGTTTTTTTTAAATAGTATTGAAGGTTGAAAAAAAATAGATGAATTAACAGCAAGAAATTTATATAAACTAATCAAAAGGTAAAAATGTATCAAGAACCTAAAACTTGTATTATGGAAGAGAAGTCAATATATATTAAATGTACAAACTGTCAGTTCAAAATTTCTATAAATATATATTAAATATCTAATCAGAGTTGCAATATGAAGGCTTTTTTAAAACATTTATACAAATTCTTGACCCAAAATATTTGATCATTTGGAACATCTTACTGTTTTATTAGATGTGTTTTAATTGCACTATGTTTTTTTTTCTGAATTTAATAACAACTTTTTATGTGAAACTTTATAATTTACATGATAATATACCTGGTTTTGAAATTAGAACAGAAAGATTGGACTTTGAAATAAAGTAAATACTAAGGCTCACTTCTTGTAAATAGACAAATCCCTTTTGCTATCAGCAAACAATGGGATCATTATCTTCTAAGCAGCTGAAAAAGCTCTGCTCTCCTAAGCATTTTCCAATTTATGTAATGACAACAAGATATATATACATATATATTTTTTTAGATTGTAGCATGCTAATGTTTTAAACACAACTTGGAAATCTTACATAATCTCTAAATCTAAGTATCCAGATTGATGGATCCATGATCAGTTTTCTTTTTAATTAGTACACTTATATTCAACTGAATGAATCTTATCCTTATATTCTCAAATAATTAAATATTTCTTTGGATGTCTGTCTGGTTTTAAAATTATTCTTTTTAAACAATTTTAACTAGTGAAGAATATTTATCATTCTCTTCTTCACTCATTCTTTGATAGATAGGTTAGTCATCACTTTAGATAATACTGCAGTAGTGTAGAAGATATTAAGGGTATTAAAGCAAAGGAATTGATTGTTACATATCATTGTTTTTACAGTATATATTTTCTTCTGCTCAGGTTATTTTTAATGAGTTTATATACTTAGGGCATCATGCGGAATGGACATTATCTTGTCAGAGTTCGTAACTCGGACCTCTGCAGAACCAGGACTAGCAAGGGACATCTTAGATGGTAAGAAAATTTTACATTAATAATTTAAAATTTTATATTACACATTAATATGGAATTGCTGGGTAGATCACTTAGTTTGGTGAATCTGTATTTGTTTTGATAGAATACATATATTTGTGTAATAACATAACACTAAAGGGAACTTGGTATAGTGGCACAAATCATTTTGGAACATCATCATCATCATGAACAATTGGAAAATTGAATTTTAACACAAAAAATGTTGAGCTGTTTTGCACTATGATAAAAATACCCTCATAAATTACTTTTTGTTAAACAAAGAAGAAGCTTTAATATCTTCACAGATATGTAACTGTTAATTTCATTTGTTAAATTAATTTATGATTCAAGCATACAATGTAAATTTAAGTTTTGTATAAACATTTTAAAATGAACACAAAAACAATTGATAGAACAAACTGTGTATGTACACATAACCTGTCTTACATGAGAATAATGTGTTTGATATAACATCTGTTACGTGTATTAAATTATAGGAAGTCTCACCATTAAGTTTGTTTTGGTGTCTAATAGACAATAAAAGTAAGATTTTGTGTGAATTATGTATGACATATAGTGTTTATTCATCAGATTATATGTTGAAAAAGTTGATTATTTCTAGTTATTGTCTATGTTAACTGTATTGACAAGTTTTCTTTTTCGTGTTAGACAAAAATCTGGAAGACTAGAAATTTGTTGGTAAAACTGTTGTACTTTTAGCCAATTTAGTACTAAATATTTAGATACTTCCGGTAACTCCATTCTTTAAAGCCAATTAGAAAAATTTATATTTACTGTCTTTAAAAATATGGTATTGACTGGAGATGTTTGAACATTTATGATAGAAATGCTGACATTTTTATGTCCAGGAAATAAGTATATTAGTTACGTACCTTTGTCAGTAGACTGTGTACACTGCTGTGATAACAGCAGTAGTATATCTTCAAAATTTCTGAGCTTTCACAATAGTGTGCAGTCTCTTGATAAAGGTTTACAACTGAAACGTTGATAAAATATGTTTTTTTTTAAAATAAGTATGTATATTTCTGGGGAAAATCTGTATATTGTTATATTCTTAAAGTAAAAAAATTAATACAACACCTTCACTATTTTGTATTCAGTTAAGTCAATTATGTGAGTGTACATAGTAATTTTAAATTGTAGACTTCAAACAGGTGTATTCCCTAAACCAGCTGTTTAACGTTAGTCATATAAGGATCATCTACATTTTTAGATTGTAATTGATTTTTGATGGTCTCAAAATATATTTTTGGAAATTTTTGTAAACTGCGTCTAATTTTGGATTTTCAAGAATAATGATTGTGTTCTTTCTAAAACATTATTTTTCTGTCCTCCATCTTATGATCAAAAAGGTTTTAACAAGACAAATGAAACAAGGTTCTAGTGCAGCATTAGTCTGAGAAAACCTTTCTTTTTATATAAGTGGCTTGCTTAAATTTTCATATCATTACTGTTCAAAACACTGAAATGGCCATATAAATATTTTTTTTTTACACAAATAACTTGTATAACTGAATGATCAGTGGAATTTGATAATCAATTAATTGTCTCATTAATTGTTGACATTTAACTAATCGATTTTTGTAGAGCTGTGTGATTAGTGGAATTTGATGATCAATTAATTGTCAGTCTCCTTATTTACATACAACTAACTGATTATTCTCACGTGAGACACTAATTTCAGTTATTTGTTCATTTTCTTGAGTCATGAAACTAATTTATTAAGCTGAAGAATCTTGAATTAGTCAAAAATAATGATGAGAAATCATAATGCCAACATTTCAATTACTTCGATAGTTGGCATAATCAAAAACAGTACTAACCACATACGGTAATTTCAATTAGTTGATTATTTTTGTGACATTAATTGATTTAATCATGATTTTGTTTAAACAGTTATTTTATGCACTACTAGTGGATGTAACTGATGCTCGTAACTAATTAATTAATCAAGTTGATCATCCAGCTTTAGTAATTTGTAATATTAATGAAATAAATGCCTTCTTTAATAGTCTTTTTGGCAACTCTATTTTTTTTTGTTTACTATGTTTATTTTGTAAATGGTTATTTAAATGGTACACACTATGTAGAAATAGTGCTGGCAAGTAGTAGAATTGGGGTAAGTGTAAACATTAGATGCATATGGTGAATTATTAGAATTTTAAGTGGTTTATTTTTAAATAGGCAATGGAAATTGTTATTTACTATAGTACATTTCAAATTTTTTGTGTACATATTGTATTGGATTATTATCCCATTTGAGCCCATTTATATATTCCTAATTAGTAAGCTAGATTTTAAATTTGCTTTCATGCTGGAAGTTTGTAGGTAATCAGATATTGATATTTAATACATTCCCAATACTGTATATTAGCTATTCTCATTCAGTACTGATATGCAAAACATTTTTTGCCCATACTACAAGCCTGGAATCTCCCACATCTGGAATTGACTGATTCCAATATGTCTTACTTGCAAATCATCATGCAACGACTTTTCACAAATAAGAGTGCGACATACCCTCTTGATGCAAGTGACTCCCTTTATTCAATTCTACTGAACTATCGCTGTGGCAATACTCGTGTTCTAACATTTAGTTTGTGTTCTCTTCAAGTGTTTTATTTTAGTTTTTTCCATATCTTTGTATTAATTTCTCTCAACGAATTTACTCTTTACTAAACAATAGTAACATTTGTAACTGGTTGAGTTATTCCAAAGTGGAATTATTTTATATTTCTGTCCGGTTATGGAATTTAGTACTTCATTACAAAAACTTGTTCTTTGTTTATGCCAACGCAGTTGTGTTTGGTTATTCATTTTGCTTTTTGAATTTTATGTTACTGCTTCAGAGGTTATACATTCTATTCGCATTTTTACACTGGCTTCAGATCGGAGTACTCCATGAGAAGATTTTCAGCTTTACTTCATCGGGAGATTGGTCAACAAAGGAGCTAATAATTGTTGGGCCTCACTTCGAGTTTGTTGGCCCAAACATTTTGATATACAGTCCACCGACTTTGAAAAAATAAGACATTATATTGATATGGTTTTTGAATATTTTTAATATTATTATCTGTAATTATTTGAATTGTATAATATAAGTTTTGTAAGTTTAGTTGATACTTGTAGTCCAGTTCAGGTTAGAAATCAGGCTTAGTTGTATCTTTTCTCCTATACCACTGATACTAGGGGTCTTTGTTATTTTAGGATTACCTGTAACTCATCTTATTGGGATACCAATCATTCATTTAACTATATTGTTTTTCTTCCATACATCAGGTCTTATACATAGGTTACTGTTCGTACACACTTATTTCATTTTATAAATTCCCATTTATTTAATTTTCGTTATTATACTTATTGTTAGGTTAATATTTTAATTTTAGAGCTTAGTGATAGTCTTTGTGTCTGTTATTTTCAGTTTACTTGTAGTTTTACTTGAGGATTATTGCTAATTATGTTAAATATATTGTTAGCTTAGGCTTAAAAAGTCTGTTAATTTCTTACCCTTCATTTTGTTTAATTTATACTTTACACATCTTACCCTTAATTTCGTTTATGTGGGCCCCTGTTGGATAGGGTCCACCCCACCTGCTCCAAATATTACTTCCTTCCTTCTATAATGGCTGAACCCATTTCATACAGCCTAGATTTTCAGTTTTCCTCCACCTTATCATAGACTGCATTCCAGGCCTCTACTGCAGAATCTACTTAGCTTTTCTTTTAGACATGAATACCCTTCTCCTGACATTGTTTCTTTATGATTTTTTTGTCTCTTTTGAGATTGGGTACTTGCAAACCTCACCACATTCAGGCTTTAATTCTTTTTGCCTTAGCTTACCATCAGATTTTCTTCTTGGTTTTATGTCCTTTGTATCTCTGTTAATCCCTACCATTTTCTCCCCTACCTAGTTTTTCAGTTTCACTTTACCCAATCTACTCTTCTACAGGTAATGTTTACCTTTCACTTCCTTTCATAGGTGTTCCACCTATATTTAGGGATTTTGTGGGATACCTCCTTTATTGGGACCCTCAATTGATTTTCCTTTAAATTTTTTTTCCTTTTCTCTTCTTCTATACGAGTTGATAGATTTTCATATCCCCTATGATGTTGACAGTCAGGGCAAGGGGATGATGACCTAGAGGCCAAAAAGGAAAAAAGGAATTAATTGGGAATTGATAAAAAAAATCAAAAATTTCATGTGTAGGAGTACCCCACAGGAGGTAGAGCCATAAAACTTTGAAGAATCAAGAGGTCACTCCTAGGAAGAAAATGTGAAAGGACTGGAAAGGCAAGAGCAACGAGGACAAAAACTGAGAAAATACGTGAGTTCAAAAAGGGAAATCCACTGTCTATTACAAAAGGAACAAGAAAGAACATTCCCTGGGCGAGTGATAGAAGCCACCACTGTCAAATAGTTGAAATGAAACACGATTAGTCAAATCCGGAAAGAATAAAGAGAGTGAATGAAAGCACATTGGACTGGATAAAGTGCCAGGGTGTCAAGGGAATAAGAACATTCGCCTGGAGACCATAATCCTGAAGACTACTACAGATCAAGCCACATCCCAAACCAATGGAGATGAGCATCAAGGAAGAGAAACAATCCAGAAGAGGGGAAGAAAGCAAGAAACCCAATATGTTCAGACAGGATTACATTCAGTTTCTCATGTCAGTTTTTTTCCCAAAATGTTTGTTCATCCATGTCACTCCAGTTCAGGTCCTTCTAGTTGATTTCTTGGCTGGCATAAATCTGGGTTTCTCTTGCTGTTTCGGGTTGATTGTTTTCTTTGTTGTGAATAATTTTTTATTTACCTCCAGTTCAGGGCTCATGTGGTATATTCCTTTCGATTTTTCCACCATCTGCTTTGTCTGTGATTTATTTTTCCTTCCTCCCTGACCTATTTGGTTTGGATTGTGCTTTGATTGGCTTTTTATTGTTTGTATCCTTCTTTCCATCATCGATTCCTCCCTCAGATCATGCACCTTCCCTTTTCCCTGCATGTCCAAACTGTCGTCTGTTGGAACTACTCCTCATATGTTCATCTCCCATTCTTTACTTTAGGTAGCTGTTTCTTTCTTGTTGGGATTCCATCATCCACCTGTTGCTATCCTTCACTCTTTTGTAAGACTGTAACTGGGTAAGTTACCTTTTAGTATATATACATATACCTCTTATTTTCAGGGGCATCTCCTTCTCTTTTTTTTTATGGATCCCAATATGTGGCGAATGGTGCCTGTCCAGGTATACTTAAACTAGTAAAAGCCACACTGTAAGGCCATGATGACTTAACCATTATAATTCCATGACCATGCAACATACACTGCAGAAATGAGGTGTTCCACAAGATCGCTTGTAAGTTTATCCTCAAGATAGGCTTGCTTCGCACATTTGCCTGTCCTGGACCATACTCACCCACAGACTATATGGATAAAGCAGAAGGGGATAGCTGCCCATCCTTGCCATACCATGTATTGAATAAATCAGTATGGTCTGCTTTTCAAAATAGGGTTTTGTGGTCACCCATTACAGTGTCTCGGGTGTTTTCGTTCCTCCAGACTCTCCACTGTGCTTTCTCCCCCTTTAATTCTAGTGGCGTTTGAGAGTCCTTACCACTTTCCAGTTACAAGCTGCCGGGGTGGTGGACCATGGAGGCATCCTCCTGAATGTGATAATGATAAAACCATTCAGTTCGAGTAGGGTGGTGGTGTTCTGCTGGTGTAGATGACGAGATGTCTTCCACTATGTATAATTGGAGTGAACCATCAAAATTGTAGTTCACTCCTTCATTTGGGATCCCTCATCCTACCCTTGCATGGATGTTGGTTCCCAGTGACATGGTTTTTGGATGTAGTACAGTGTGTACTGTCTGTCGTGCCCTAGCCACTCTACACCTAGGGCACATCCATTAATCTCAGCTACTTCTATGTTTTCTGGGATTGAGTTTCATAACTTTAATATATAATGTATGGTCCAGATCACTATCCTGCCATAGTTCTCTCCCATTTGGATGTGCTCCTCTGATTTTCTGCCAATATATGCAACATCTTTCTACAATGGGCGAAGAGTATACCTAGTTTAGAAGTGGTACTGTCTCCCACTTATGATTTTTAACTCTGAAGATGTCTTTGGGAATGTCCTTTGGACACTTTCAGAGGATGCTTCTTTCTCTCCCTCACACCAGTCCCTCCACCTGTTCAATGTGGGATTCTAGTTATTTATGTGAGAGGAGGTAATGCATTGTATCAGAAGTTATAATTTTTCTTTACTGTAAATGTACTTCCGACAGGTACTTATCTCCTCTCAACACTTCCTACCATTCCTCCCCACTGAAAACCGGTGCTTCCATTTTCTGCCAAAACAAGAAGTGATAGTTTGGTAGAATTGAATAGAGGGAGTCACATGCATCAAGAGAGTATGTCACATTCTTATTTGTGGATGGTTACCGCATGATGGTTTGCATGCGAGACACATTGAAATCAGTCAATTCCAGATGTGGGAGATTTAAGGAATGTGGCATGGGCAAAAAATGTTTTGCATATCAGCACTGAACAAGAATAGCTATTTATGTGAGAGCGTGTAAGTACCTATCAGAAATACATTTTCAGTATATGAAAATGTTTCTAGAAATTTTCTTTAAAATTTTGGTAGTAAAGCACAATATCAGATATGTTTCGTAGAGAAAAAAAAGTTATAAATTTCTGTAAGATGCTAAATTTGTAAAAAGGTTTTATATTATAATTAAAGCTGTATTGTTTGAAATAGTGTATGTATATGAATGTTAATTACTTTCTTTACTGTTATTTTAATAAAGATGGTAGTTCTAACCCACTGAGAAGTATTTTTTAAGAGGATCTTTAACAGTAATTTCTAATATGAGGAATATGGAAAAATGAGGAATTTAGTTGATAGGTATTAAAGTTGCATTGTAATAAAAATTTTACAGAAAATTAGGTAGCTTGAAGAAATAATTAATTATTAAACATAAAATTATGGATAAATATTAGACATACTGATAGGCTTAGAGTACAAGTACAAGGGTATGTTGATTCCATGAGAATTATTTGTTTCTATTTAACTGTTGTGCACATAAAAACACACAAGTCCCACTCTGTAGCAACACAAATCCTCAGTCGTTCCTACTTATCTTATATTAATATCATTCCTGTCAAGTTGTATGTTATTCCTAAAGTTTTGTGTAAAAATAGGTTTTTACTTCCTGTCTGAATCTGCATGTGAGATGAGGTAGGAATCTCAGTGTCATCTCTTCTGGATTATTTAATGTATTTGTTCTGAAGGAGAGAACTGATTTAATATTCATCAGCCTTATAGTGCATGAGTAAACTATACAAACTCAACACAGCATAAAATATAGGCTTAATTAATCTTGTGATCTGTGTTAGCTCCACAATGTGACATCAACAGTTTTTAAACCTCATAGACTCTTTTGAGTGAAACCATGTAATTGGTCATGAATCAGTTGAAGCATGAAAAGTAACTGGTTAGAAAATTTTCAAACTCAAAGAGAAATGATAAGATTCCATATTTAATTATACAAGATGTTTTTATGTCATGTAAAATTTCACCTTTCTTGTTTTGTGCAAATTATATCATGTTCGTTAGATTTATTTTTATATTAGATATCATATAAAAGAAATTGTAGAATTTTCAGAAACTATACAATATAGAAGTGTAATAATTGTAGACACAATTGTAAAAGCTTGCTTAAACCTTATACAGTATAGTAGTTGAATGCTTATCATTTTCAATAATAAAATATACATTTATATTTATGATAATTTCACTTTTGTATAAATATATGCTTATATCTTTTTTTTAAGTTCCAATTAACAGTCCATTCTTCCCTTATCTTTCACATATTTTTTCAACCACTACACAAGTCACTTATTCTGTCTCTCTAAATGTAGCTCATGATTGGGACTTACAAGCAGCCCTGTCAGCTTTCTACTTCTTGAAAGGAATTCCTGTATCCTCAGAAAATAGCTCCGTAACCAAAGCTTCTAACAACTTAACAGGAATTGATTCCATTCAAACGAAGGACATTTTAAATCACCACTATTCATTACTTGCAACAGATACTCCTGAGGCTGGCCCTTCAAGCAAACCCATATCACAAAGATTGAATGGATTAGGAGTGGAAGAAGCTGTATGTAAGTAGTCAGATTATTATACTTTATAGCTGTGCTGTAGAATTGTTGCCTAGTGAACACAACTGTTCAGATTGACTCTATATGCATGAGGGGGGGAGGGGGTCAAAGTGTGGAAACCATGATCTTTTACAGAGTGCCTTTCAA